TAAAGGAGTTCCTCTTCATCTTCCTCTAGTGTTTTAATTTCTTGTTCAGGAAGGGACACTGTCAGCTGAAACTTGGGGTCATGGTTGGACTCATGTACATTTTCGGTGGTGTCTGGATCCTTGTGAGAATCCTTGGCGGCCGCCTTGGGACACAGTGGCAGTGACAGCTGGGGCAGCAGCTCCACTGGTGGGTGTGGTCGTCACTGACTCCGTGGCCTCTTAACGGCTGGTTGTCGCTCCTTCCCTCTGCATCTGATGCTGGCACCTCCCGCCCACCTGCTTTTTTTTTTTAAGGAAAATAATTTTGGTGTCAGTAGGAGAAAGAAACATGTCAGGGAGTCTAAAGACCTTTTGTGATAGTTTGGGTGAGAAACCATGAGGGGCTGAGCTAGACAATGTTAATGAAAATGAAAGGAGAAGAATTGATTTCAGGGAATATTTTAGAGCAAAACCCAATGATTGATTGTGGTGATGTGGCCAGGGGTCTTGTGGGTTCAGCCTTGGTAACCGGAAGGTGAAAGCCCAGTCACTGAGGATGCACCGCTGGGAAAGGGCAGACCCGTGTGGTCCACAAGGTTTGAGTGACAGCTGCTCTCTGACCTTCCTGCTCTCACCATCAGTTTGGCATCTGTTGAGTTTGCTCACTGAATATAGGTGGCAGTGTATCAAGCAGAATGGATGGAATTGTAGGGTTGACACAGAAGTCTGTGCTAGAGTTAATAAGTTTTAGGAACTAGATTATGAGATTTTTTTAGTCTGTATTTGTTAATATATATTCAGTGGAGTCCTGATGTGGTGCTATAGAATAAGCACTGGACTACAAGGTCGGTTTGATCTTCAAAGTCAGTAATTCAAACCCACCAGCTCCTCGGAAGCCCTATACAGGTTCGCTATGAGTTGGCACCGACTCAACAGCACTTAACAACAGGTGAAATGAAGACGTGGTTCTGATACTAAGGAATAGGGATTTAAAGTCTTAAACAAGTGATTTTCTTGTATGTATAGATTGTATGGCATTGTAGGTTAAACACTGCTAACCACAAAATTGACTGTTCAAACCCGCCAGCCACTCCTCAGAAACCCTATACAGGGTCACTATGAGTCAGAATTGATGCAACAGCTAGTAACAATAACAAATGCCTAATGTCCTTTGTTGTGCAATCCAATGGTTTCTAGTATATTTATAAGTGTGCAACCACCACTGTCATATTCCAGAATATTTGCATCAATCCCTAAAGAAACCTCCAACCCAATACTGGTCACTGTCCCCCTCTTCCCATCCCCTAGCAACCACGAGTATACTTTCTGTCTCTGGATTTGCCTATTCTGGGCATTTCAGAGCAGTAGAATCACAATATGTGGCCTTCTGTGTTTGACTTCTTTCATTTAGCAAAATGTTACGAATGTTCATCTGTTGTGTAGCACATAGCAGTACTTGATTCCTTTTTATGGCGGAATAATATTCCATTGTATGGCTAGGCCACGTTTTCTTTATTCACTTATCAGTTGATGGACATTTGGATTGTTTCTACTCTTGGGTTCTTGTGAACAATTCTGCTATCAACATTTTTTTTGTTGTAGATACATTTTTTGTATAGACATACGTTTCCAGTTTTTTTGTTTGTATACCTAGAAGAGGAATGGTTGGATACAATAACATTTTCATAGAATAAAAATAAATGCATTTTAAATAATAATACACATGTTGCAGCAACACATGTAAAAAAAAAATGATACATTAAGTATATTAGAAGACTTGCCACTGGAGGGGACAGGAATGGGTATAATGCTGAAAGGGAATAAATAAATACAAAAAAGGCCTTTGCCTTGATAATGTGTTATAAATTGAGGAAGATGATCGATTCAATCTCTATACCTGAGATCCAAAAAAAAAAAAAAGGAAATAAAGAAAAACTAGAGAGTTTTTTCATTGGAAGTACAATAAAATTGAACTTTCCCAATTCTCAAATGTGTAGCAAGGAATCCTAGGGCCTCTTGAATATTTTTGGGAAAGGCCATAGGATAGATTTCATAATACTAAAAATTCCTTAAATTTATTTTTACTAAAGGATTTTTTTTTTCTTATTATAAAAAGAATATATTCCCATTGTGGGGAACTGGAAAATACAGACCCATACATGCAAGACACTGACACATCTGTGTAATTCTCTTCCAGTGTAGCTACAGAGAGCGCCTTACTCGTGTGGTATTTCAACTCTAGTTTCTGGTTTGTTCATTTTTGTTCAGTCTTGTCAGTGTATGTCTTTGTTTAAAGTAACAGTATGAGGATGGGTAAATGCTACAAGGTACTTCAAAGAGCAGTCATAGCAAATGAAGCCTGGTCTAAGCGAACAAGGTGGCTTTCTAGCAGACAACCAGAACTAAAATGCCCTTTTCCTTTATGCATTGTGTTAGGAAGAAGCTGCCAAGATCCTGCTGGCTGAATTCAACCTGGGCTGTGATGCCCAACACACCGAACATGTGTACAGGGTCTATGTCACGACCTTTTTGGGTTTTGGTGGCAACTTTGCCCGGCAGCGCTATGAAGACCTTGTGCTGAATGAAACGCTTCACAAAAACAGGTACATTTGATGTGGGGCCTGATGTAAAATAGAATGGGTCAGTCTGCACGTATTAGTAGAAAAAAAGAATCACATCCTGTAGGATAAGCACTGGACTGCTAACCACAAGTCGGTTCTGACCCATAGTGACCCTGTAAGGGTTTCTGAGGAGTGGCTAGTGAATTTGAACTACTGACCTGGTTCAAACCCACCAGCTTTTCCTCGGAAACTCTATACAGGGTTGCTCTGAGTTGGAACTGACTTAACGCCACTTTACAACAACAACAACACCAACACTAAGATAGAAGGCTCCTAAGTGGCACCAGCAGTTTGTACTTGACCACTAACCTGAAGGTTGGTGGTTCAAAGATACCCAGTGGGTCTTAGGAAGAAAGACCTGGTGATGTGCTTCTGTAAAGATTCCAGCTGTCGTATTCCAAGGCACATGGGAATGCCATGCGTTGGAATCTGCTTTTTGCTAAGATAGGTGGGCTTTGCTTCCTCCTTCTTTCTGACCACCGCTGCCGTTGGGGTAGCACCCCTTTGAACACCCTCTGTTAGCAGTCCCTTGGATCTGGGCGAGGGTGAACTCTGTTCATTGTTGTTACGAGGCATTAAAGTACAGCTGCTGATTGTGACCATCTCTGGGTCTGTCCCCCCAGCTCTGTACGTTTGTGGGTGCAACCTCATGCAGGGGGTGCTCTCTTCAGCATGGGATAATTGCAGTTCATTAATTTTCTCATTTAAAAATGAGAAGGCTCATGGAGATCCAACCAATTCCTTGTACTCAGAAGTACACAAGACACTTGTTGAATCGCAGTGAAGTTGCATCTTATATGGGAGTAAGATTCCATGTTGTTGTTGTTTTTAAGTGCAGCTGAGTCAATTCCGACTCGTAGCGACCCTGTATAGGGTTTCGAAGGAGCCACTGGTGGGTTTGAACTGCTGACCTTGTGGTTTGCAGTCCAGTGCTGATCCTCCAGTGCCACACTGGAAGTCCCAGATTCTATAGTACACATGAAAGAGAAGAAGCATGTGTAGTCAAAATTAAGGAGACCTGATGGTGTTTGGTTGGTAACTAAAAGGTCTGTGGTTCAAACCCACCAGCTGCTCCATGGTAGAAAGATGCTGTGGTAAAGATTCCAGCCTTGGGAATAATGTGGAGCGGCTCTCCTCAGTCTTGCAAGGTAGCTATGAGTTGGACTCAAAGCCATTGGTGCTTAAAATGAACCTTTAACATGGTCTTCGATAAGCCCAGCATGACCAGCTTTCTCTAACACAGGACGGATCACTGATTCTTCACCTGAGTACCAAATCAAGTGTTTAGATCCTGACGTACGAAAAGTGGATTTTTTTTTTTTTTGAAGGCTTTGCGCATGAAAGGAAAAACATAATAGACTGTAAAGTTCTTTCCCACAATAAAATGACTTACTCCTATTAATAAGAAACACTAGCTTGACTTGAAAGTCCCAGTGTCGTCCATTCATAATCACTGCAGTGTAGCAATCCGCTGTCTTATATTTAAGCATATGTTGAGGGAAACATTCTTTATAAATCTTTGGTAGTTGTGCTATGTTTTCATTAGCCACCACTAAGAGTTCAGGGTCCTTTGAGAGAATCCAGGTGTCCTGGACAAACTGATGAATGCATGAAAATCACGCAGCGTGTCTGAATTCTTAAATCCTTGCAAACATTGCTGGAGTTCTGGAGCTCAGATGTCTCCTGCTGGCACTCGGACATTTGAAGAACATTTGTCGTGAAAGTTCCACACCACTTTGTTTTCTTCCTTCATTAGCTGCTGTGCTTCTTTTTCCATTTTCCTGCTTTGCTTTCTGCGACACTCATATTCTCTGCCAGGCCACACCTTCTCCCCATGCGTTGGTGGTATTTGGGGCCAGGTATCCATGTCACCTGGTTCAGGAGCTCAGTGAATAAAAGGCATCTCTTTTGTAGTTGCTGAGCTGCTAGAGAAACCTCGGCTACTATCTGGAAGCCAAAATGTAATGGTCATCTCGTCTAAATAATGATTTTCTGAGTTTTCCTCATAGTTGGTGTCATGCCCGTAAAATAGTTGCAGTTGTTTTCAGGCGTTTTATTATGGTGCCGTACCCACCTCTTTAGTCTTTACGTTTGTGGGTGCACCTTCATCCCAGGGAGTGCTCTCTTCAGCATCCGTCTGCATAGAGACCAATGAGCAGGCAGCTCTAGTTGGCGGAGTTGTTAGGTCTCCACTTGCTGTCCTTCCTTGGCCAGATCTCTGCATAGTAACTAACCTCTTTAGGGATGAGAAGACTATCACTAGGCAGACAGATAGCTGGAACCGTGGGCACCAAAGCCTGCTGTCCCTGCCTATTCACCCAACGGGGGCTTGAACTCGGTCCTCGCACTGCTTGTTCTCCGTTAAAGCCAGGTGTTCTGTCACCACCATGGAGAACACCCCTCTTGAGGAAGCGCCTCCCCGCTTTGCCTCCTCCCAGTTTTGTTTTACCTACTAGACCCACGGTCAGCACGATGAGATCCTGGCCCTTGTCAGAGACGTGTAGGAATGGAGACCAGCAGAGGCATGCCTCCAGTTACACTGCAGAATATATTCATTGACTCCAAGTTGAGCAGCTTTGATCATTGCCGCTTTTCTCTCTTCCTTTGGCCAAGTTGGATTTGCTTAAGTTCAACGTGCATGAGGTGTAACTGCGCTGTAAAGCTTCAGCCCTAGTTCTGGGGATGCCTTCTTGAAAAACAATAGCAAGAGAGCTGTGAAGCAGATTGTGTGTCTTCGACTAGGTTAACTACAGTGATGGCATGTTTGTATCATTGTGACAGGTTGCTGGGCCACAAGACGGGTCTGAGTCCTGAAAACCCATTTCTAGATCCTTGCCTGCCCGTGGGACTCACGGATGTGGTAGAGAGAAACAGCCAGGTGCTGCACGTCCGAGGAAAAGGAGACTGGGTGACCTGTGGGGCCATGCTGAGTCCCCTGCTGGCTCGCTCCAACACTAGCCAGGCCTCCCTAAACGGCATCTACCAGTCACCCATCAACTTCAACAACAGCGAGTTCTATGGTTTCTCTGAGTTCTTTTACTGCACAGAGGATGTGTTACGCATCGGTGGCCGTTACCATGGCCCAACATTTGCCAGGGCTGCTCAGGTGAGTTCTTAGGAATATGGGTCACTCGTGAGGGTCGCTTATTGGCAGAGGGCTTCAGATGATCTGACTTGGTTCCTTATAGGACCCCTGGGAGCCCTCCTTTTATAAGCGGTGAAATGAACGTAGAGGTATTCGGGAAGCCACTCCGCCTACTTTGCTCTCTGCTGACTTAGGTTGAGGTTCCCACGGCTGGCCTATCTCTCACGTTCCACCAGCTCTAAGATTGCTGTGCGGCCAGTGGTTTTCCCTTCACCTTTCCCCCCAAAAAAATCTTGTCTAGTATTTATGGTAAAACATGTCATCGCCAGTGATTTCCCACCCCCATGTGTGTTTCCAGTTGCAGTATGTTTCTGGAGAGAGGACACATGGGTGGGCAAGTCTAGGTGGAGTGATGTGGAGTTGCTTGGAATGTTGGAAGGATGTTGAGAAAATGAATGGCGATAGAAACAGTGTTCACATTTAAGATAGAGAATGATTTAAATCTTACTCTGAGTAAATACAGGATTGGGAGGCTTATCTAGGCAGGTCAGGGTTTAGCCAGCTTTCTATAGTTAGTTCCCTGCTGTCATTTGCATGCATGTCTCTGATTGGTCGTGTATCTCCCAGATCTAGCCCTTCCTTTAAAGAAAATTGTGGGAAGAATATGCCCTCCTTGTATTTAAATTTTCTGCTTCTTAACAAGTCTGAAGGCTTCTCTTGGTGTAAGTAAGACTTCCTATGGAATAGGATCTACAGTATGTCTCCTGTTCTGTTCAGGCTACAAAGGTGGTGGTGGTTGGTAAGTGCCGTCGAGTCAGTTTTTTACCTATTATGACTCTGAATAGGGTTTCCAAGGAGCAGCTGGTGAGCTTGAACCACTGACTTTGTGGTGCAAACTGACCTTGCAGTCTAGTGCATTAACCCACAGCGCCACACCAGGACTCCACATAAGCTCTTTTCCTCACAGCCTCCTCACATTCCCTTGCCTTTACATGGCTTGATGGTCCATTACCCCCCATGTTTGTTCTCATCTCAGAAATTTTGCTTAATTTTACTCTCTTGAATAAGGATCCCTGGTAGCGTACTGGATTATGAACTGGGCTGCTAACCACAAGGTCAGTAGTTCAAATCTACCAGTCACTCGACAGGAGAAAAATGCCGTTTTCTGCTCCTGTAAAGATTTACAGCCTCAGAAACCTTATACAGGGTTGCTATAAGTTGGAACCAATTTCATGGCACACCACCACCATTCCCCTGAATATCACAAGGCTCAAGTTGTTGTTGTTGTTGTTGTTGTTGTTAGATGGCATCGAGTCGGTACTGACTCATAGTGACCTTATGCACAGCAGAACGAAACACCGCCTGATCCTGGGCCAACCTCACTACTGTTGCCACGCTTCAGTCTATCGATACTGCCACTTAGGCAGTCCATCTTGTTGGGTATCTTCCTCTCTTTCTCTGTTCCTACACCTCACCAAACATGATATCCTTCTCCAGTGACTGTTCCCTCCTGATATATGTCCAAAGTATGAGAGACGAAGTTTGGCCATCTTGGCCTCCAAGGAGCATTCTGGCTGCACTTTTTCCAACACAGATCTGTTGGTTCTTTGGCAGCCCATGGCACTTTCAATATTCTCCTCCAACACCATAATTCAAAAGCATCAATTCTTCTACAGTTTTCCTTATTCACTGTCCAGCTTTCGCATCCATATGAGGTTATTGAAAATACCACGGCTTGGGTCAGGCGCACCTTAGTCTTTAAGCTGACATCTTTGCTCTTCAACACTTTAAAAAGGTCTTGTGCAGCAGATTTGCCTAATGCAATACATCGTTTGATTTCTTGACTGCTGCTTCCATGAGTGTTGATAGTTGATCCAAGAATGAAGTCCTTGACAACTTCAATCTCTTCTACGTTGATAAGAATGTTGTTTGTTGGTCCAGTGGTGAGGATTTTTGTTTTCTTTACATTGAGATGTAATCCATACCGAAGGTTGTGGTCTTTGATCTTCATCAGTAAATATTTTAAGTCCTCTTCACTTTCAGCAAGCAAGTTGTATCATCTGCATATAACAGGTTGTTAATGAGTCTTCCTCCAATCCTGATGCCACGTTTTTCTTCATAGAACCCAGCTTCTTGGATGATTTGCTCAGCATACAGGTTGAATAAGTATGGTGAAAGAATACAACCTTGTCGCACACCTTTCTTAATTTTAAAACATTCAGTGTTCCCATATTCTGTTTGAACAACTGCCTCTTGGTCCAGGTACAGATTCCTCATGAGCACAATTAAGTATTAAGGAATACTCATACTTCGCATTGTTGTCCATAGCTTGTCATGATCCACACAATCGAAAGCCTTTACGTAGTCAGTAAAGCACAGGTAAACATCTTTCTGATATTCTCTGCTTTCAGCCAAGATCCATCGGACATCAACAATGATATCCCTCATTCCACAGCCTCTTCTAAATCTGGCTTGAACCTCTCTGGAAGTTCTCTGTCAACGTATGCTTGCAGCTTTTTCTGTATTACCTTTAGTAAAACTTTACTTGCATGGGATACCAAAGAGATTGTCCAATGATTTACGAATTCTGTTGGGGGGTCACCTCTCTTTGGAATGGTCACAGATATGGATCTCTTCCAATCAGTTGGCCAGATAGTTGTCTTCCAAATTTCTTGGCATAGCTGAGTGAGTGCCTCCTTTGCTGCCTCACTTTCTTGAAAGATTTCAATTTTCATTCCATCAATTCCTGATGCCTTGTTCTTTGCCAATTCCTTCAGTGCACCTTGGACTTCCTTCTTCAGTATCATTGGCTCTTGATCACATGCTACCTCTTGAAACGGTTGAACATGAACCATTTCCTTTTGGTAAAGTGACTCTGTGTATTCCTTCCATCCTTTCTTGATGCTTTCTGCATCATTCAGTAATTTGCCCAGAGAATCTTCCAATAAGTTGAGGCTTGAATTTTACTTCAGTTCCCTCAGCTTGAGAAATGCTGAGCCTGTGCTTCCATTTTGGCTTTCTGATTCCAGATCTTTGCACATTTTGTTGTAATATTTGGCTTTATCTTCTTGAGCTGATCTTTGAAATTTTTCTGTTCAGCTCTTGAACCTCCTCATTTCTTCCATTTGCTTTAGCATTTCGATGCTGGGGAGCAAGTTTCAGAATCTCTTCAGACATCCATTTTGACCTTTTCTTTCTTGTCTTAATGACTTTTTACTTTCTTCGTGTATGATGTTCTTGATGTCATCCCACAACTCTTCTGGTCTTTAGTGTTTAATGTATCTTTAGTGTTTAATCTGTTCTTCAGATGATCTCCAAATTCAGGTGGGATGTATTCAAGGTCATATTTTGGCTCTCGTGGACTTGTTTTCATTTTCTGCAGCTTCCATTTGAATTTGCCTATTAGTAATTGATGGTCTGTTTCACAGTCTGCCCTTGGCCTTGTTTTGACTGATGAGATGGAGCTTTTCCATCATCTCTTTCCACAGATGTAGTCAGATTCCATCTGGAGAGGTCCATGTGTATAGTCGTCTCTTATGCTGTCTAAAGAAGGTATTTGAAATGAACAAATCATTGATTTTGCAGAATTCTATCATGCGATCTCTAGCATCATTTCTATCACCAAGGCCATCTTTTCCAACTACTGATCCTTCCTCTTTGCCCCCAACCTTTGCAGTAATGATCAAGTTATTAGTGACTTAATATTTCTCTTTCCCCAATAATAGAGATTTACTTTTTAACTCGGACTTTTTGGAAGCAATACTGTAGCCTGCTTTTTCCTATCTGTAGTCCCTTGGTGACATCATCCAGCCTTATGACTGTAAGTGCCATCTACTTGCTAATGGGGTGTCCTGATGTGGCTGTAGGATACACGCAGGACTGAAAGGTCGGTTTGAACCAGAAGGTCATGGTTCAAACTGGCCAGTTGCTCCTTGGAAACCCTATATTGGGTCACTATGAGTTGAAACCAATTCGATGGCACATAACAACAACATATGCTAATGGGTCATAACTCTATTTCTAGCCTAGGCATTTCCCCCAAACTCTAGACTTACATAATCAGTGGCTGATTCATCATTTCTTCTTGGATATCTAAAAGGCACCTCAGAATTTAACATCCTAAAACTGAGTTCCTGAGCTGTGCCTTCTTCCTCCTCACCCCAAATTGCCCCTCCCTGAGTCTCCCCCTATCTCAGTAAATGAGTATTCCATCTTTTAACTGTTTGAGCCACAAGACTAGGTATTGTCCTTCCTTGGTTCCACACTAGCTCTTCCACAAACATCAATCCTTCAGGAATTCCTCTTGGCTCCACCTTTTACGTACATAGTGGGTTTGATCCTTTCTCCTTACCCCCACCTACTAATTTCGTCACTTTGGGTGATCACAGTAGCCCCAGATGGTCTCTGCTTTGCCCTTGCCCTCCTTCAGTCTATCCGTCATATGGTAGCTGGAGTGATCTTTTAAAAAATCAGGTATATCATATCATGTTCCTATGTCCAGGACCCTCAAATGTCCCCTACCTCTCTCAGAAAAGAAACCAAAGTCCTCACCCTGGCTCATCAGCTCTGTGTGCTCTGGCCCTGCTCTTGCTCAGCCTCATCCCCTCTGCTCCAGCCAAAGCAGCCTCCACGCTGCTCCTCCATCCCAAGGCCACTCCTGCCTCAGGACCTTTGTGACGTTTTCTACTTAGAATGCTCTTTCCTCAGGTAGCCACGTGGTTATGTTCCTTCACTTTCTTGACTTGGACTCAGAAACCATCTTCCCAGTGATGCCTTCCCAGGCCTCCCTACCAAAATTGCAACCCTCCCCAATATTACTGACTTAATTCTTTCCGAATATTGATGCCCTCGGAGCTGCTGTGTGTAGGAGTATGTGTGTGTTTGTTTGTTTAAATCTCTGTCCCACCATAAGAATGTAAGCTTTATGAGGGCAGGGACTTATGACTGTTTTAGTCACTTCTGGATCGCTGGTACCTAGAATGCCCACCAAAACAGTAAATATTAGCTGAATGGATGAACAAGCCAAAAGGAATCACTTCTTGATGTGAATTCCAACATGGAGGCCGACCGGTGATCAGGTTTGTCGTTTCTGTCTTCACTGCTGGTGTTGAGAATCTGCACACCAGAGCACACACCGGTCCAGCTGTTTCTACAGGCACAAGGCCCGTGGCTCTGCTTGTATCCCTCACCACTGTGCAGCTGGGGAAAGCCGCCTTTCCTGAGGTGCTCCTCCCTCATGAACTTGAATTCGCCTCCCCTGAAGTTTGCTACCTCATCTTTTGAGTTGCTACTATCAGTTTGATCCCAGATAGATAGATCTTAGAGGAGCACAGGAGTAGGTTTTGACCGCTAGGCCCCATTTACTTTGTGTCAAGCTTAGATAGAGTAGAAGGAAGCTCTCTTATGTTCTAATTCCCAGCCCCAGTTCTCAGGAGTCACACCAGGCTGCATTTGCATACTGAGTGTGGTATCTATGGGAATGTTGTTGTTGAATGCTGTCAAGTCAGTTTTGACTCATAGTGACTCTGTATAGGACTTTCAAGGAACAGTTGGTGGGTTTGAGCCACCAACCTTGCAGTTAGTGGTCCAATGCTGATTCTACAGTGCCACACCAGGACTCAATAGAAAAGGGGCATCCTCAGGTCACTTCTGTCTGGACTTGCCTTGCGCAGACCTAGCACAGTGCCTGGTGAACAAAGGAACCATTTCTGTTCTCCGTTGTCAGCTGTAGAAACAGGCCAGCTGTGAGTGTGGGAGATTTTTCATTTAAGTCTCATCTTGTGTTGGGCCATTTCTCTGACTGTTCCAGGATTACTGTGGCATGGCTTGGCCGGTACTAACTCAGAGGTTCAAGAATGGCCTCTTCTCATCACACGCGGACGAGCATCGCCTCAAGTAAGTAACTTCCTTCTCCCCACAGAGAATGTGGCCTTAGCATGTTGGCAGCAGGCTGTCATGAAGAGAGCCAGCGAGACACTGTGGTACAGGTGGCATTTTACGTTGAATGAGTTTGATTCTTTCAGGATTGGATGTTCTGAGGGACACTAGGGACTAAACCAGTGAGCCTGTCTTACTGAAGCTAGGGGAGACCAGGGGTTTCCAAAAGTAAAAAGTAACTACTGCCTTTGGAAAGAGAGTTCTCTACAAGTGGTTTCAAATAAAAAATGATAGCTTTTTTTTATTTTTTTAAAGATTTTTATTAACATATCAAGCCCACAGAAAAGCAGAAGAGTAATATAAACCCTGTATACCTATCACCTAGCTTCAACAGATGTCAACATTTTGTCAATTTGATTGTATGCGTCCACCCATTGTAAATGTTTTCATTTAAAAGATGTAAAACATGCTGGTTTTGGTGCCGTGGCGTCAGTTCCAACCCTTAGCGACTTTAAAAACCACAGACTGAAACCCTGCCTGGTCCTTCCCCAGCCTCACAGTTGCTGCTACACTTGAGCCCATTGATGCTGCCATCGTGCCAGTCCATCTCATTAGGGATCTCCCTCTTTTTCATTGACCCTCTGTTTTAACAAGCATGATGTCCTTCTCCAGGGACTGGTTCCTCCTGATAATGTATCTGAAGTGTGAGAGGCAAAGTCTGGCCATTTTTGGCTTCTAAAGATCATTCTGGTTGTATTTCCAAACAGATTTGTTGGTTCTTCTGGCAGTTCATGGTGCATTGATACTCTCCTCCAACACCATAACTCAAATGCATCAATTCTTCTGTGGTCTTTCTTATTCATTGTCCAACTTTCAAATGTATATGTTGTTGATTAAGTACCATTGAATTGGTTCCAACCCATAGCGACCCTATTTAGGACTTCGGAGGAGCAGCTGGTGAGCTTGAACCACTGACTTTGCCATTCAAACCAATTTTGCAGTCCAGTGCATTAACCCATGGTGTCACACCAGAACTCCACGTGTATATGAAAATATCATTAGGTCTTTGCTCCTGAACACTTTAAGGAGGTCTCATGCAGCCTGTCTGCCTAATGCAAATGAATGCCTAATGCATAAAAACAGAAGAGCATAATAAACTGTCGTGTACTTGTCCCTCAGCTTCACTCTGACAATTAGCAACTCCTCGTCAATCCTGTTTTCTCTTTTCAGATTTAGTCTCTATTTTGTTGTTGTTGAGAATCTATCTACACAGCGGAATATGCATCAATTAACAATTCCTACGTGACATGGATTACGTTATTTTGAGTTGTGCAACCATCCTCAGCCTCCTTTTCCTAATTGTCCTTCCCTCGTGGACATAAACTCACTACCCCTTGAGGTTCCTGTTGTCACTTTGATTTCGTATCAGTAGTTCTTAAAAGAGCACAATGCTCAAGGCACATAATGCTTTACTAATAAAGTGAAATTATTATATGGTTTATGACTTCAGGGGATATTTTTGTTTAAGATTTGTAATGATGACCTCAGTTTCGAGGGTACATCCAGCCTCAAGGGCTCCAGAATTTTAGGTCACAGCCAATCTTATCTATTTTCCCACCTACCACTCACTGTTAGATGAGCACTGGACTGCTGACCTCAAGGTTGGCAGTTCAAACCCACCAGCCACTCTTTGGAAATCCAATGAGTTATAAGCTACTTGATGGCACTTAACACATCCCCTTTGGTGGCTCAGTAGTTAAAGCACATGGCTACTAACCAAAAGGTCAGTGGTTCAAATCCACCATCTGGGAGAAAGAGATGGTAATCTACTTCTGAAAAGATTTATAATCTTAGAAACTGTATGAAGGAGTTCTATCCTATCCTATACGGTCATTATGAGTTGGAATCAATTCAGTGGCATTACCCCTTCTTTTTCTGTAACTGGATTATTTTGAACAAATTCCAGATGTTATATGATTACATTTGTAGCTATTTCAGCATGGTTCCTGAAGATCAGAACTCTTTAAAAAAATAAAAATAAAATAAATAAGGATTGTTCTTCACTTCTGTGGTAAAGACGACATAAAGTAGATACTCAAATCTGGCTCCACCTAGCGGTGAGGAAGTTGAAAGACAGTTCAGGTTTGGATTATGCTGTGGAGATACAGGAATACCCGATGGCTAATGTGCTTGATTAACAGAAAGCTTCCCGATGTCTAATGCGCTTGATTAACAGAAAGTTTCCCGATGGCTAATGCGCTTGGTTAACAGAAAGCTTCCCGATGGCTAATGCGCTTGGTTAACAGA